AACGCTGCTATTGTGGTTTCCATAGCAAATAAAGTATTACGTGATGAAGTTGATAGACACATGCCCAGCCGGTTTTGTATCAGGTTTTTTGCTTACGGTCCCTGGTGTTCACAAGTGGAGCATGGTGTCTTACCAGGGTTTTACCGCTAGCATATATATATATATATATATATATATATGAAAAATTTCTTATAGTTAACTTGTAAGAAAAGACAATAATTATAAATGTAAAAGACGATAGGAAAACTGCGACGCGTTTTGTCCCAAAATAATATTTCTGAAGCAGATAAATAAATTGCCAAAACTATTCCTCCCAATATATTGGAGAAACACGTAGAAAAAAAAACACGTTTATGAGCACAATAGAGACCTCACAATAAATAACTTAGCTAATGCACTAGTCACACATAAATAAATTCAACCACAATTTTGATTTAAAAATTGCTACACTGATAAAAAAGAAAATAACTCACTCAGAAGGAAAATCCTCGAGAGTGCCGCCATTGATTATTATCCAAATATTAATCTATGCCCAGTTTTTTCCCTATTTCACTTTCTTGACAGAATTACTATTCTCCCAAACAAACGTACACAACTGTATCAAGAAATGAAAAGAAAATGGTTGAATCCGTCAACACAACAATAAAAACAATATCTCCACACGTGACAGTAATTGACGTAATTTTCAGTTAACAGTATGAAAATAGCGTTCTCTAAATTCTTCCAGTTGCTAAGGACATTTTGTTTTGTTGTTATTAGTTACTTTGTTTAATAAATTCATTTCGGTTTTGTCTTGAAAAAGTCCACATTGGACGAAACGCGTCTGCTACTATTACAGTTTTCCTATTGACTTTTACATATATATATATATATATATGTATATATATATATATATATATATATATATATATACATGTGTGTGCGTGTGTGCGTGTGTGTGCGTGTGTGTGTGTTTAGGTAAAAATCCGTGGGTTAGTAATTCAAGTGATTCAAATTGGGAAAAGAGCACCAACAAATATCAAGAATTTGAAGACAATATTCCAAGAAGAATGGGACAAAATACCACTCAATATGTGCAAATCATTAGTTGAGACGTACAGGAATAGACTGGTAGCTGTTGAACTCAATAAAGGATATTCCACAAAGTATTAAATTAAGTTAATATGCTTTTTTTTGTTTTGTACGAATACTTATTTCATCAGTTAAAATGAAAAAATGCATTAATTTCTGTTAGAATAAGAATTAAGTTTATTACTATTTTTTAATAAAATGTATCTTTACACATAAAATGTATCAAAATTTGTTTTAGTTAAGGCTTTTACATTTATAAAAATACAATCTTTCATGTGTACGAATATTTATTTCTCCCCACTGTATATACAGGTTGTAACAACAAAAATTGTATAAATCCTGTAACACCATAATTGTCAATCCCACAAAATGTCGAATATCTAAAAGAAGCACTAATTGAGTTTCTTTTTTCCAGGTTTTCAGAAAACACGTTTAGACATCCTGACATCATTTGATGTAAGAATCAATGAAAACCCTTTGAGTTATTCAGCTAGAAATAGAAAAGATTGTTACCGTTTTGTGTCAGACACACTGTCTTCCCAAATGAGCATTGATGAGAGAAAATAGATAATTCAGGCCTTCAGTAATGATACCAACTTTCATATTCTGGCTTCCATTTTCAAAGTCCATTCAAGAACGGTCAAGAGAACGGTGAATAAGTTTTAAAAAGAGGGAACAGTAGAGAGGAAAACTGGATCAAAAGGTCAAAACAGGAAGAGGGATCATTATTTCAAATTAGAGCTAAAGAGATCAATTGGAAAAGAACCAACTCAACCCATCAGACCTTTGGCATGTGAGAGAGGCTTTTCAGCTATGACAGTCCAAAGAAAAAAAGTCCAGTGAAAAAAGATTTGAAAATGAAATTGTACGTGAAACCTGTCAGTCAACTTGTTAATCCAGGACAGTTAGAAGGTTAGAGAAGGTTTATATTAAACACAGAAATCTACTGAAGGTATCGTTTGAAGCAATAAAAATGTTGAATTAAAAATAAGTTCAATAATTCTTTAGTTTTTTTTATTGACCGGTTCACACTCCTCCCCAATCATTTGAACAGGGTAATGGATTAAACCTTGTTTCCTTTTTGGTATTGTGTTTCCAGTTCTTTCTAAAGTCTTTTCATTCTCATCCACTCCCAGTAACCCCTTGAGTCTTAGTGGCATTACCTATAATAATATAGATATAATGATGATACAACTGAAGAATGGAAATATAATGCGAGATATATAGCTGGAAACACAATTTGCTCGTAAATGAATATAACGAACCCGACTGGAATAGGAACTCGGCTTTCTGATTTCTAATTCCGAGCCGTTATCTATTAAATACCCGGTATATTGAAGCCTAAAGCACCTGCTATTTCTAAGCTGCCAACTATCTAGGTTATGATGTTACAGCTTAAATATGGTGATCGTACGAGAATCTGTGTTGCAACGGGATATGGCTGCAAGCCGAAATGGTGGAGAACAATGATCGCCAACGTCCTAAAGAGACATGACAAAAGAAGAAGAAGAAGAAGAAGACGTTTGCTGGGGTAATTGAGTGATATGTCATGGCGGTTATCGTACGAGAACCGGACTTAAAACGGGATATGGCTGCAAGCCGAAATGGTGGAGAGCAATGATCTCCAACGGTCTGAAGGGACATAACACAAGAAGAAGAAGAAGATGATGATGATGATGATGATGATGAAGAAGAAGAAGAAGAAGAAGAAGAAGAAGGCGTTTGCTGAGGTAACTGAGTGATATATCACGGCGGTTATCGTACGTGAACCGGTGTTGCAACGGGATATGGTTGCAATGATCACCAACCTTCTTAAAGGACATGATAGAAGAAGAAGAAGAAGAAGAAGAAGAAGAAGAAGAAAAAGAAAAGAAGAAAAAGAAAAGAAGAAAAGAAGAAGAAGAAAAGAAGAAGAAGAAGACGACGACGACGACGACGTCGACGACGACGACGACGACGATGATGTTTGCTGGGGTAACTGAGTGATATGTCATGACGAATTCTATTTGTAATGGCCTTTTCAACCTGTTTGTAGTTCGGGTGCAGCAGGTTACAGTCAGTGGGCATAGATGTGTGCGTTTATATGAATGTGACTACACTTTTCAGGTTAGTCTTGTATGCCGTAGCAGCTTTACTGAATTCGATCATTGATTGTTCCAAACTTATGCAATTGCATTCGATTAAGTTGAGCCTAAGTGAGATATTTTTCTAAATATATTCATTTTTATTCGAGTATCATTCTTGACAATTTCTGTGATGCTGATTCGCTAAAATAAGCAAAAAAGAAGCAAAAGAAAAAGCTCCATATTGATCATAAATCCTGCATTAACAAACCAGTTCTTATTTTTCTTTTAAATCGTTACAAAAGCAAAGTATAAACACGCAAACAGTTTCTTACAAATCTGTAGCCGCAGCCAAATAAATGCGCAGGCAGCTTTTATTATAAATATCATGTTTACATCATCTTGTCAGACAAAAGTCATGAATCTTTTAAAGTTGTTGAAAAGCAATTAACATAACGATTTTTAGGAAGACATTTTTCTCAAGCTGGACCTAAAAAAAAAATGGCGTCCACTATCGGAGAAAACGTATAATCATAAAATTAAAACATTTTGATTATCTTAAGTTCTTTTCTCCTTCCCAAACAGTTTATATTCATTTAGTGTATTGCTACCGCATTATAAACTGTGGAAATTCAATTAAAATCATTGCAACATTCACGCCACTTTGCCATCAGAATTGTTGACTAACCAGAGATATTAATATCAACTTGCTGAAATAATTGCTTCATTGGCGCGCTATCCAAAGAGTCCTTCTTCGGTCTCTGTAACTGCTATTTCAGGGATTTTTTTGTCTCTTTTTTTAAGCATTTTTTTAAGCGTTTCACCCCAAGCAAGACGAGAAGCCACTAGAACGCAGGGGGTTACAGAAAATTTGGAGCAAAATCAGATAGGTGTGATAGAGGAAAAGATGAGGAGAAGGATAGTGGATAGATCAAGGCAACTGGAGATGTCGATTGACATTATATTTGAATAGCTGGAGATTATAGCTATCAAGGAAAGTAGTTTCGACAGTGAAAGGGTGAGAGCGGGATGCCAGCCTCGTAGGGCGCTTGAACTCATTTAGTCTGGGACCCAGCGAAGCAGCTCCTCGGAGCAATTGCCATGAAAGTATTTGTAAAACAGACAGAGAGAGACGACGGCGCATCTGTGAGAAAGTGACTGTAGACGAGATGCCAAATCAGGGTCAATTATATTGCATATCCTCCTCTGGAGCCTATCAAGAACCCCGAGGCAAACAGAGGGGGCTCCAGACCATATATCGCAGCAATACTCCATGCAAGGGCGAATTGTTAATTTGTAGATCTGGAGGATCGATTGCGGGGAGAAAAATTTCCTGGCGCGGCACAGGGAGCCACCTTTCCTTGCGGTAGCCGAAGCAATTGACTTCACCCCAAGCAAGGCGGGAAGCCACTAGCACTCAAAGGGTTACAGAGGATTTGGAGCGAGAGCAGATAGGAGTGATAGAGGAAAGGATGAGGAGAAGCTATTGGAGTAGAAGAGATGGCTACATTTAACTGTTTCAACAGTGAAAGTGTCAGAGCGGGATGCCAGCCTCGTGGGACGCTTAAATTTTAAAGATATGAAAATCTTGAAGTTTCACCAAATACAGTTTATAGTTAAGATCATTTTTTAAAAAGAAATAACAAGATATAAAATTCTTTTTCATCATTTTAGTTTCTTATACGATCAGCGAAGTTAAGCAACGTAACTTCGGTGATCATACGGGGATAGGTGCTTCAACGTAATGTGGCCATATGCTCATTACACCAATGGCACATCCAACCTTATAGCATCTGGAATTCTCAAGCGGTAAATCTAGGAACTGATCAGGCTCAACGTTGCTTAACTTTAGTCATTGTACAAGAATCGGTATTTCAATGTACTGTAGCTGTAAGCCCATTACGCCACCCGCACATCCATCTTTTATTTACAAGCGGTCACCCAACTGACCTGGGTTGACGTTGCTTAACTTTGGTGATCATAAAGGAACCGGTGTTTGAACGTGATGAATCATTTTTAAGCACTTCGATATGGTGTCCTGGTTAACAAGCATGTTCCAATTACGACTGAGTAGTGAGTTCGATTCTCACTGGGTGCTCAATAACTTCAGCCTTGTGCCACATAAAGCAAAGCCTAATTATCGACTTCGACGTGGTGTAATGGTTAACAAGCTTATCTCAATAGATCAATTACGACGGAGTAGGGAGTTCGATCCTCACTGGGTTGCACACGCTACGCTTAGAAAATCATTTTTGGGCACTTAGATCTGGTGTAATATTTAACAAGCCTGTTTCGCTAGGTCACTTACTAGGGTGCTCCATACTTAAGGCCTTGTGCTATATCTAATCTACAGTTAGTAAATCGTTAATATTTACATTACGGCACAGTGTCTTTACTAGAATTAAATTGCCAAATGATAATCATAATATTAACTGTTTCCTTATAAGGAAACAATCGGCATTTATTGACCGAGCATCCAATGCTGGTGTCGGTTGAAATTTATAAAATCTTTCTCTTAAAACATTTTTTTTTATAGAAAAAATACGTTTCCAAGTCCAGTAGCTGTTATAGCCCTTTCTAGTATCGATTGGGGTTTCCTTTCCAACATTTTGTTTGTAGTAGTATGGAACGTCAGCATCATGATTATGTCATTAATTTCCCTTCGAGTTATATGTGCGATCCATTTTAGTTGTTGCTGCTGTTGAAGATCAACAGATCATGTCGTTTCTGTTATCGAATAGCTCCCAGCAAAAATAGGCACAAAGGCTATTTAGCCGGTAAATATAAACAGTGTTTTAGAACTAAGAATATATTATATTTGAGATCGTCAGTACAATGGTGGTGTGAGCTGAGTAGGCAGGACTTGAAAAAAACATTGATTCTGTGGTCTGTGTCTGTTGTCTTCACTGGGTGCACCTGAAATGTATTGGCAAGAGAACCACGCCCAAGGGCATGTTTTGGATTTGCCTGAAGTGTTTAAAATATTCAGAGACTTCTATATTTCTTTTAATGGTTGATGATGAATAGATAATTTGAAAATTGTCTTAAAAATTGATAGTGAAAATGAATAATCATCCGTGTTAAATCTGTGTGTTGTTATCTTTAACATTACCTGCCTTCATAATGATAAAATACCACAACAGTAATCTGGTGGTCTATTTTACCGCGACCAGCAAAATAGCCTCTTCCTTCTCTTATTGGGTAAAGTTACTTGTTTGTGATTCTGTAGCGCCAGTCTATAAGGTTTGAAAAAGTGCGGTCTTAGCCATGACCGACAGTTTTCACTTGCTCAAAATCATTTTAAACCATTAATTTGAGAGAGCGGTTCTATAAAGATGACAGTTTAGATATTTCTGTATGGGTTTGACGTCATGCATGACATCCATATAAAAGCCTCGATCTGACGAGGCTATTTAAGAACATAACACGATTTTACAGGTTAATGTTTTATTTTTTTTTAGCAAATTGCTGTGTTGCGCAAAACTATTTCTACCTCAGCCTATTGGCTATTCATTTTATTTATATCCTATACTAAATTTGTTATCACCTGACATCTATCTATCCATCTATCTATCTATCTATCTATCTATCTATCTATATATATATATATATATATATATATATATATATATATATATATATATATATATAAAAAAGTGTATATAAATATAAATAAATATATATATGTATAATTATTTATATATTATATATATGGTACTTATTAGAAAGCGCTCAATATCAGAGATAGAGCTAACATATTTGGTTGGATAGATGTGAGTTTGTGACCCTGGTTTTTCTGACGATCGCTAAAGCGTGAAACCCAGGGTCACAAACTCATCTATCAACCATATATATATATATATATATATATATATATATATATATATATATATATATATATATATATATATATATATATATATATATATATATATATATATATGTGTGTGTGTGTATGTATGTATGTATATATATACTCAAGTATAGGATTGATGTATACGGAATAAATTCCAATAACCAACAGATACTATTCTTAAAAGAGTGCTAAATACAGAGTAGAGCAAATATAATTTATTAGAAAATTTTAACATAAATATGTTATAAAATCAGTACAAAAATAGCCATTTCGTTTCAACACTTCTGGTGTCTTGTCAACTGATTGTGTCAAATATATATATATATATATATATATATATATATATATATATATATATATATATGTGTGTGTGTGTTGATTTCACAAGAAAAGAGAATGACTGCAAAACTTTTTCTCCCCTCTCCTTTTATAGTCAGAATTACCCAAAATGCGTGCTGGGATATTTTTCTTAACCAATAAAACAGGACGGCTTGCGTTTTGACACGACTCAATCCACATTTGCCGTGTGGGTTTGATTACTGTCTACAGGCATATATTATAAAAAATACTGTTTAAATAAAGAAAAATGATTTCTCACTTCTATACTATACTCTATACTATGTTATATATATATATATATATATATATATATATATATATATATATATATATATATATATATATGTGTGTGTGTGTGTGTGTATCAAATATGTGGTGCAGTTCAATGTATATTACAATGAATCACACATAAAAAAAAAGTAGAATAGTAAAGTTAATGATATAAAGTAGAAAAAAAGTAGAATAGTAAAGTTAATGATATAAAATGGCGAAATCCTTTCGCTTAAGAAATTTTAAAGGTGCATTAACCTACGAATCACTCGATGGATGTTATGATCCTTGTTTTTAAAAATTATAAGCTGTATAAGGTCTTTCTTTAATACGCAAGTACTTTCAACTGTACATTCAGTCATCTTCAGGCATGGAAATTATTTTATTTTTGGTAAAATTCAGGTAGCATCCGAGACGAAAAAATTTAATGCGAATCGAAATATGTTTTTTTTTAAATGTGTTATTT